AAATGGTACAGGACTTTTCCGTTCATCTCGAATCGTTCTACCTTCTCAAAAATTTTGTCGGATATGGAAAGACTCACCCTGTATAGTAAGGAACACGTCTTCTCTCAAGACAAACTCGGAGACAAATCGTATAATCAACTTCAGCCCACGGCTGGCGCGCATTCACCCGGTGGCGAATCGCATGCGCATTTGGACGGTTCAGAGACCAGACAACATTATGATGTCTTTCATGAGAGTTTAAACTGATATCATGTAGCATGATATCATAAAGATAACATTTTTAAGAAATGTCTCAAATGCGATATCTCAAAGAGCTCTCGTAGTAGATGCCTCTAGTAAATGATGATTATCAGATACCATTTTGACATAATTTCCAAGATATCTAAATGTTTTCTTGAAAAAGTTCTCTTAAAGTTTTCATTCTGACAAGCATGTTGTCTGGGTTATAACAATTTAAGATGGCGGTATTGTGCATACACTAGAAATCACTGATGTCTTCCCATATGAATTTAGGCACAGGTAGAACACATACATACATTCTCCATGTATGCAAATGCAAAATGTATAAATGTGTCGATATGTATGTACGCAAATTCACGTGGGAAGGCATCAATTTGATTACTATTGTACGTTCGAGTCAGATAACTAAAAGGAGAGGGAACTGCGGGTAATTTTTATTACTTTGCATTTGCATTCGCGGTTATTCCACGCGTGGCAGCACCGACTGGAGAAGTCGCCGTTGCATTTCTTGCTTTGAGGTATTTTTAATTCGCAAATACGTCAGTACTGCTATCTATGAAGTCAACTACATAGTTTCTGTGGCAGCAATACTATATAAATATATAAAAATTCGTTGTTATCAAGATTAAGATTAAATATACACATTATGGTTCTTTAACTAGTGTGGTTGACAAATTAGCTTAGAATCAAATTTGGATGTCAATTATAATTGAAACAAAAAAGCGGTTGGTTCGCGATTGCGTGGCATCTTGCAAACTTAAGTAAATCTTCATTCGGATCCGAATTATAGAATTTGAAGATAATTTCGACTACTTTTATCTAGATTGAGATGAAAAATTCCTAATGAATTCTCTTGAGTTTTCGTAAGACTGATGTAAAGCTCTACGATTGCTGTATTCTTTTTCCCTGTTATCGCTTATCGACTGAGAGAATTGCGAGTATTCCCCTTCGCCGTTGACCGCAGGCATGGCAGTAGTGGCGCTACGGATCAATCGGACCAGCCGGGACCATCCGGGTACGGTACCGTCTTTACTGTTTTCCGCCTGTTATTTACCGCGAACGGAGAACTTTGATTCCCTGGCGCGATCAGCTGCGCGCACGCACTCACTCTCCTCGCGAGTCGTAGATCGCCACGATAAGAGAATCGCGAGCGCGGTGAATTACAATCGGGGAGAGAACGAGTGCACCCCCGGGGGTTGGGGTGATGGTGGTGGTGGTGCTGCTGATGCACCGCGCAACCCTTACCCGAGGCAAAGTGTGTAGCGATCGTTTGCCGTCGGCTACCGCCGCACTGCTGCAGTTTTGTCATCGGAAGGGGTTTTCCGTCATCGTCGGCTTTCCTTTTTATCTTCTCGCTTTAATCGCCACCTGCGATTCTTAATTTCATTGTATAATTACGGCACTCGAGCCAGCGGCTCTCGATTCGACTCGCACGATCGCGTTTGATCACAATGACAACTTCTTGCTTGACACGTATTTTATTCGCGTGATATTTTTATCGTGGAATTCAGCTAATTATATATAACTACGGCATATTGTAATTGGTTTGTTCAACTTACGTTATGCAATGTTAAACATTTACCTTCTAATATCACTCTGCATATAGGCTGTAATTTATGATAGCGCGAATTAACTTTGGCAAACGAGATGGTATTAAGTAATATGTCGTATATATAGGTTTCCATTTCAATATAATTTGAATAACATAATGCAATAATTAATTCGTGTAACTTGGAAAATTCTAGGATTTAAGATTCCAAGAATTTCAGACTTTGACAATACAATTAGCCTGTTGGAATCGTGTCAACTAATTTTTTTTCTTTGAAAAACATTACGAGAATTCCAATGCACAGTTATCTGTGTGTGACTTCGAAGTGTTTGGAATTACTCATGGAATTCTCATTATGTACTCGTCAAGAATGTATTGTGCTGCGACTACCTTTAAATAGTGCCGCGCGTCCATCTCAAAGAATTGAATAACGGATCAACGAACGAAACGAGTAAATAAGTCTCCTTACAATAGAGGACGTATATGAATTGTATTTTCGAAAGTAGGATACCTTTTCTTTCGCGCCTCGTTAGGTTATTATCATTAATTGCTGTAATAAACGAATAGAAACCATTTGCTTTAATAACTACTTCAAGCCACTGACAGTTTTTGCTTAAAAATGGCACTTGACTACCAAAGAAAATCTTTATTAACTGATTTCGTTTCAGTTCAATGCCTCCTGTTTTTTTCTATGCCACGTCGTTACTTTGACCCGCACTTCTTAAATACATTTATCTTATACTCCTAAAGATATTCTTGCTTCTTGGTGAGATTCAAAAGAAATGTTTAATACATTTTATTTGATACAATGTAATTATATGATAGTTGTCTTTTCAAGTTTCTCTTAAATAGGCACAAAGAGACAGAAGGAATTTGTAATTAAAATTAGTATCACATTTTCTGCCGTTGAAACGTCAAAATCTTTTACGCGTATGATTGCCATAAATCATACGAGTATGAATATGGATAATATTCTTATTATACCCATTGCTCGCTCGTGAAATACTGTTTACGTGTTTAATTTGGTAAATGTCTCTCGCTACATACCATACCTTGTTATGTTGAATTCTTTGAAAGATTATTTATAATACTTGAAAAAAATCCACGTACCCGGATAAATAATAAATAGGTTTACGTATGTACTATAGCACCTACATTTTCATGGTTAAAAAGAATTTTTTAATACAAATCGTACATATTCAATTTAAATTATACATGTAAAAGAATATGCACATACGACTCATGTTTTATCTTATTTTTTACCACGGTTTTTTCTCGCTTTTACGTTTCTGCGATTGTATGATTTTAAAAACACAAGTAATGCTCCGTGAAGTAGTAGACCATACAATCCCTAAGTACTTATTGAAATCGTGGAACGTAAGCTAAAGGAAACCTACTCATCCTTACCTTAAATTTATTCTGACGTCATACATCTTTTTACAAATCATTTTGCATTTGTAGAAAAGAATAGTAATTTGTTGACATATCCCATGATAATTAATACTGTGAATTAAAACGAGTTTCTAAGTTAAAACGAGCTCAATCTAATTAACTTTTGTTATTGCGCTGATAGTTTGAAGCCGAGCCGAAACGTATGTATAATATTACTGTTTGTCAAGGTATTATTTTTAACATTTTATTACTGTAAAATAAAGATATTGCACTAGCTTTACACACTAACTGTTCGACTCTCAAGACCATTTATAATTACTTATTTTTCATATTTTAGATGCTATATTTTAATAGCTAAACTATAAGAATTAAACCTAGTTAAAAAGTTAGATTACGCATAATAATCTAGTTTCTATGCGCATTTATTCACTAACATGTTTTGGTGTTGTAGAATTTTTAATTAATCCATAAACTAGAAAATAAAAATATGTTTTGCTGCAAATCTCCTTACTATTAGATTAACTGGTTTTTTTTATTGCATCTGTTATTATTGTTATAATCCCTTATTATATAAGTATTTTTTATACTTAAATTGGTTTAGTTAAAACATTAGAATCATTTTTTCAATTGTAATTAGGTTTTGTGTGATGTAATATTACACTATTTTTCTCATTGCAATCTCAACCGGAAAGGACAGCCTTGACAAAGTTCTGCACCTATCTCCGTCATTCCCAGATCAATATTGCGCAATGCTATTGCACTGCCAATTTATGCACAACAAATGTTTGGTGAAGGGACGTAAAACTTCGTTCTTACTTGGTTTTAACATCTCGCATGCTTTATTGAGCGACGACTCTCTTTCGATATAAGCGAGCATAACTGAAAAACCTAATAAAAGTACACTTATTTGTGTAAAATCTTCCAACATTCATGCTTCGTTAAATTTGCCAAAACAGATTAATTGATATAATATTTTTGTATACAAAGAAGGAGAGAACTTTTCAATCTCTGAACAGTTTTCACTCTTGACCGCATTGAATATCTCGCGTACTGAATTAAATACTCAAACGTCGCAAACTTACTTGTTATTTTAATTTAATTAATTATTTATTTGTAAATTTTTATTTATTTTATTTGAAATTGATTAACGTATTTAATAGCTTTTTTATACAATCGCGTATTTACGTACATATACATACATATTTTGCAGAAAAGTTATTAAACACGAATGCTTTTTTTCGGTACATTGCATTGCGTTAAGCAAAAAAGTTTCACACTATAAATATGGAATTGTATGCGCTAAAAGCATTTCACATTTATTCATAGCTTAGCAACACCGATTTAAAATATCAAACAGATTTATGTGACTTCAAACTTTTTAACTTGCTGCATTAATTGTGCGTGTGCACGCGCGCGTTTGTGTGTGTGTGTGTGTTCCAGAACTTAGTTTAAAATAGAAAAACATGTTTTTATTATCAATTTTGTTTCTCTTATAAAACATATACGTTGATATAACACAAAAGAGAAAAGAGATCTTAATTTTAATAATGAAGAAAGACCGTGCTCATTAAAAATTTTATTTGTTTTCATCTTATTTAGTTAGTTTTACATACATAATATTTGTGCACAAAAATTAGTGTTAAATTATAAACATATAGGGATATATTGATCAAATAAATTATTTTCGCACACGAACTACATGCTTTTTGATACTTGTTGTAAAACAAGCTGCTTATATTATAAAGTATATGTTCAATGTATTCATATATGTATTCATATAATAATATTCATATAATGTATTAATACAATAAAAACTCGTCGGTGGCTAAGTCTTTTTATTAATATGGATAAAGTAAGAATCAAATACGCTTTTCACTTTTCGTGTTGAAGTAACGATAAATGTTGAAGGTCAATGCAACGTAAAATTGTGGAAAATGTTTAAAAAAAGTTTTAATTTGCAAAATTTTTTGTAATCTTATATATTGTTCTGCAGTACAACGTGTGCCATATGTAAAAAACTGGAAGAGAGAAGGTGATTACAAATCTCGAGACGATCTTATTAATAAAATATATTCGTATTTGCAGATTCACATAGAAAATAAGTAGGTAGAATTGTTATCACATCAATGTTCATATCAACAATATACTGTACAGTGTCCGAAAGATGTCTGCTAAATAAATAAGACCAGAGAGCCAAAGCAGACTGTGCGTGCTAAATTATGTATACTTTTTCTATTCATTACAATAAGAAGTTCGTCTTATTGTAATTGGAGAAAAACAATACATAATTCAGCACTCACGTTCTGTTTTGAATCTCTTGCCTTATTTATTTATTATTGATTTTTACCTTAGTAGCCTTGTTTTATTAAGCTTTTAATTAACTTTACTTATGAAAGTCTTCAGGTATGGCATTAATTAAGGCAATCTAGATAATTATTTATTGCATTCACTAAAATCCTTCGTAAATTAGGTTAAAGTGTAACATTTCTTATTCGGTATTTAGATTCTATATTTTTTTAAATCGACTACTTTCTTAGATCTCTCTTAGGAATTTCTAGCACTTTCGTAAAAAATTAGTTCTGTACTTAAGTCGAGATAGCATGCGAAGTTGACAGAAAGGCGAAGAAAATTTCGCGTGCAAAATATTGAAACATGTTCGACAAAAAATTTATGTTTCAGTCCTCAATATTTCTCCACTAAAGTTTCTTCGCTGCTTTCGACGAAGAAGATCGCAAAATGTAGCTCTCATTGTTCTCGATTTGAAGCATAATACTAGAACCGTCTTCATTATATTATGGCACGGTAATTATGGATTCTCGAAACAACAATGACTTTGTTAGTAAATTCACAGAAAAGTAATAGGATTCAAACACAAAAATTAATTCTTTGCAAAAAATAAGTCTTACAAATTTATTTCTGTGTCCAATCAAGTTAGTTTAATAATATCAATATTTTGTACATATAATTATTTTATGAATGTGTATCATATTTCTAGAGAAGTTACAGAATATAGATATAAAAAAAAGAGAAAACATAAAAATATCTCTGTCATAAAAGTGTTCTGAATATGAAACTTATTTAATGTTTCTTTTTTAACTTAATTAACCAAAGAATTCAAGTCATTGCTTAATCGCATTTTACTTTCGTGTTAGGCATTATTCAAATGTATTAGTAACTCACTTTAACCACTTAACCGTTTGACTGCAGATGTCGTTTGATTGAGCAATGCCAAACTTACGATAAATTGCCGTGGCGTCGAATCAACGCAATGAATATACCATAAGTAGCGTCCAAATGCAACTTCGTTTCAATAAGCGTACTTTTCATTTCTTGGCATACGTATTTTGCGAACTGCCAAACAGAAATTTCTACTTTCTAAATTATGTAGACAAACAACAATTTTCAAATAATTTGTCGCGGTCTATATTTCCTGTGAACGGAGGCGTTTCGAGATTAGATGTTCAGAAGATCATTGATAATTGACAAAAGTAATAACATATATGTATTCTTAGAAAATGTTGTAATGTTTTGTCTTCTAAAATTTTATACTTCAAAAATTTTTATTTGGTAATTGTTTGGTAAATGCATAAAAGGGACCTTTTCTCCGATTTCATTTATTTTTTAGTATGTTATTGGGGGGGGGGGGCGGAACTTCCCGAGTAATTTTATATACAGGGTGTACCGCAATTCGTGACCGAAATTTTAATAACGTATTTCTGAGCAAAAAGTAAGACGAAAATCCTAATACGAAAATGTGGAGGCTATAATACTTTTCAAATGGGAAGCATTTGTAATAGACAAATCAGGTAGTCTAAAGTTCGCGCGTTCAGAGACGGTACATTGCACAGTGATAAAGGTACTCTTGCATCTTTACCGATATACCTAAAACAATTTAAGTAATTATATGTACAATGATGCTGATGTTATTGATTGAGTCATATTTAAACATGAAAAAATAAAAAAATTAAAAATTAAAAATAATAAATATGAGAAGTTGTCCACATGAGAAGTTGTCAACTTATGAAATGTCACAGACAATTTATATGGCAAAAATATTTTCTTCAATATTGATTTATATTGAGGTTATTTTTTTAATATGTAGATAAGATAGATTTCATATTTTATTCAATTTGGCAATGCCTAATGGAAACTATAATGTTGATACAAACGCGAAATTTATTAGGAAATCTAGTAACAGTTTTTTTTCTATTGAATATTATAGTTCTGTTGTGCTACTATTAATACTATGAGATATTGTATTTGTATAATAACGTTTATTTAAAATTTGTTACAACATATGTTCAATATATGTATATATGTATATATATATCAATATATGTATATATGTCAAGGTCGAACTCATAAATAATTTCGGAGATAAAGTTAAAAAGGATAAAAATCATAAATACAAAAATAAGCATTGGATAAGTTTTAAACAGAAA